AACTGTTTAAATTGGGAAATTTCCAAAGTTCAGTATCTATTTTTTAGTTATGGAAAACTGGAGGAGAGATGGTAAAATCTCTGGTATGAGAAATAAATTCACATTTGACCTATTCTTGAAAATCATATACAGTTCCTTTAATCCCTTCAATTTGGATGCTATATTTCTTTGCTAATAAACTAATGCTAGAATTTATTTTTTATTTAAGAACAACTTTCTATTTGTACTATATTGGAATTTCTAGATTGTTGAGAAAATTAAATAATTATGATATGATAATTAGCTTTTATAGGTTGTGTAATAGTCGAAATTTAGAATATTAAATAATTACTATGTATAAATTACACTTATTTACCTTAATATATTTGCTTTCACATTTATAATTTACAGATTTGTAGGTCATAAATAAAACACCAAATTCTATTTAAAATTTTATTTTTAGGATTAAATTAATATACACAAAATACATAACATAATAAAAAATATAATAAATCTACAATAAATAAAAATACATTTAATTTGCCCATCATTATTAAGAATTCTAATTCTAGAAAATAAACATTCAATTCAGGATTTCTTTTTGGTTATGACAGGTTTCAAGTTGACTAGTAATTTTGTGTTAAAATTTACAGTTTGCCTAACGTATTGGATATGTCTACTTAGCCAGTTCCACATATTTAATAAATGTATAAAAAGAAATGGATTATTTCAACATAGGTACAAACAATAAAAATGTTATTACTGATAGTAGTTTACTGCTAAATATTTACTTTTCTGAAAATAGGCAGGAAAAAACTATAAAATAATATTAAATATGGTTGAGAATGTATAAATACATAACATTTATACGAATTAAAAAGTGTTTAACAATATAAGTAGAGATACCAAGCTCCACAGTTATATGACTTAAAATTATTCATGCTATCATCTCATGAAATATTTTAAAATACTTAGCAAACACCTATATTACTACAAAGTAATGCCTATTTAAAAATAAAAATATATTGCTACAAGGCTATACCTCCGTCATAAGCCAAACCCCCATAATTGACAAATTACAAATATTTGAGGTTATTTGACCATTCTGATACTAACCCATTTTTCTTTTTAAAAAGTAAACAAAATACCAGCAATTTTTATTCTGTATCCTAAAAAGTCAACTTGATTCTACAATGTAACTAACATTTTTATAGAGAATTCTTATCAAAAATCAACCCAAAACATTAAATCACACTTATTTATATAACTAGTTAAAAACATTATTCAAAACTTGTCTTTAATTCAACAAAAGCAGCTATATTGGTAACAAATATCAAAATACTGGCACTAATAAATTTCTTTTATTGCATATATCTTCATTCTATAGTTTGTGTAGTTACTGAGGCAGTATAGATATTTTAAAGTTTTATTTGTGAGCCAAGACTGTCTTGTTTCAAGATTAGTGGTCCATACAACAATATTTTTAATTTTGTTGTGTTACAAAGTTTTCCTTTTTTAACTGTATGGTTTTGCTTGAGAGTCTGTGCAGGGGGACCGGAAGAGTCTACTTGGACCAGGCAAGGGTTTAGTAGATTCCTTGGGAGTGAAGAGACTACTAGGAGAAGCAGCTACGGAGACTCCACTGAAAAGAGGCATAATATCAAGTATTGATTCGTGCACCTACAGAATAATAAATAAATATATATGATTCTAGAGCTCATAAAAGTATGTTCCGAAATATAATGATATAACAAAATTTATATAGAGATTCAACGATGATATTTAGCTGCAGTTAACTAGGACTCGTGTAATTATTTATTGCAATGCAAGAACCTAATTAGACCTACAGTTATACTTTAATAAAATGTGTAAAAGTTCCCTTCAATTCCAAATTTGTCTTCATATTACACTAATTTTCCTATCAACATACAAAGTATTTGTGATAATTATACAGGATGGTCCAAATTTGACAGGTTTATAAGATATTACTAAATTAGCAGGAGATAAAGCACATTTGATCTCACCTGTTTTTTAAACTAAACATGTTATTTTATATCCCGTTATAAATTCCTCCCCTAAGTAAAATGTAAGCGTGATTTTTAAAATATCATTATTTTGTTTGGGTGTTCAAATAAAAAATGGTAAATGGTATTACCTTGAAAATTTGTACCCCTTGAAAAAATAATAAGAGTAAGACAATGGATTTTACATATGTAACTATGTCAAATTATTAAATTGTTTTTGAAAATAAGATATTTATTTGAGATAATAAATTATGATAAAATTAGAAAATCACCCTATAGCTTCTAAAATGGATTTATAACATAACTAAGCATTTCATGTTTTATTTCTCAAAAAAGTTGAGAATGGTGGGTTATAAGTTTCGACATCTAGTTGTATCATGTAAAAGCGTCGAATTTTGACCACCATGTATAATAAAACAGCTAAGTTTAAATAAAATAAATAAAATACTTTCTTACCAAAGAATGCAGCAGTGGAATCAATGGGGACTCTATTTGATTATAAAAAAATGCTTTAATTTGAGCCCATCTCATCAAGTTGAAGATTAACCATGCCTCCTTCTCGTTTTTCACCCTTAAACAAATAAGGAAAGAATTTTTAAATAAACAAAAATAATACTAAACATTAGTTATATCCAATTTTATTTTTTTTTTTAACTTTAGTAGTTTGAATAATCTTTAAAATGGAAAAAGACAGATATTGCTAAAATTGTATAAATAATAACACATACAAAAGAAGTTTTATATTGTATATATAAAAGTGATTTAATTTCTGTTTAAATTAAAATCCTATGAATTAATCTTTTAAAATATAAAATTTCTGTTAAATAACATTATTATAGGTACTTGCTTAGAAAATTAACTTTAAATATATTACTGCATACATTTTTAATTTGATTTTAAATAAATGTTTTCTTTTATTACTAAGAAGGAACAATATTCTATACTATATAGAAGGTAAGTATATTAATGTTACTGTCCCAGAAGGGTGGGTGTACAAATATTATGAATATACAATTGTTATGTATAATAAGTGTCCTTTGAATGAGACAAAAAAATACGAACCTTGTGCTGTCTCTCCTTCTATTTAACCTCTTGTAAAGTTTATTTTTCTTTTTGTTGTATCTCACTTTTAGATTTCCTTGTATCAGTTTTATATTTAATAAAAGCTAGTTATTCCTAATTAGTATTTTGGCCAATACAACTTCTTAGCAATTTACCTAAAATTTTAACCCCAAAAATGTAGTTGGAAATACAAATTAAGTATGTAATAAAGTGAATGTTTTTGAAGGAATTTTATGTACTTATTATTAATTTACTTACCAAGTGGTTTTTCTTCTATCTGTAGCAGTAAATTGCTTGCGTTTTTTTTTGTCAACCATTATAATACTTCAACTAAACGAACTCAAATTGAACTTTTATAATATATATTCAAAGTACCTCTCGACACTCACATAAATTGGCTGGAAAATTGAAAAATTCTAAAATATTAATCAGTAAAGATTTCAATCTGTCAAAGTAAATGACGAGCAGAGCTGACATAGGAAGCGACGTTGCCAGTTCACGTCGTCGTTAAAAATTAACAGAAGAATGCAACCCGTACTACACCTTTAGTAAAATATTTGGGTTTAACGAGTCATTAGATATTTAACGATCGTTGTTGCAACCCGCTGCTAGTCTCTTAGATTATCAACGAAATCTTGGACAGCTATACATTCCAAAAGAATGTCTGGAGAAGATGTATGGACAAAGCGTGCTATTGTTGCAATGTCTATTTCGAGTTCCTAAATTCACTCACACTCTTTCTGATTTTGGTTCTTGAACTGGGACTGGTAAGCCGTATATAGGTGGGCATGGTTACATCTAATTTCTAAATGGTTCACTAGTAAGTTTTTAGCTATATCCTCATGAAGGGTGTACAGGACACCCAATGCTTCATCTCACAGACCTACTGTGGGTAATATAGCTTTCTCCCAGAGCTGTAGCGTTAAATTGTTTTGGGTAGTTGGGCCAAGAAGTCTTTTCAGCGTAAAAAGAGAATTTTATTTCCATTCGGACTTCTCCTATTGTACTAGATCCTTGTTATTCTTGACTCTTCAATAAATTGTAGGAGATAAGTGCTTTGATCACTCGAAGCTAAATCTACAGAATAAACAAGGGGCTATTCAATCTTTCGATGACCCGGTGAGATTCCATATGGTATTCTTTCAAAAATAGCTTTCAAGGTATATTCCCCTGGAGTTTATGGATCCCTGCTTGGTACTGTCCAATGCGTTGCGTTATCTTCATGATCTTTGTATGTATTTCGGCTTGCAGCTATAAAGCTTGATTCAGAGGTCTTTGGTCCGGTAGTATGCAGGCACAACTTCTCGAGATATCTTCTAAGCTCTGTCACTAACAACAATTAATTTATGTTTTTCCTCTTCACCCTACACCTGACACCAATTTTTAACATCTTTTTAAATAGATCTGTTCCAACAATGATCAAAAACCAGTCATTGACACCAGGATTCTGCGCGGTAGATTATTTGGACCGTCAAATTATATACTGCGCATAATCTTGCTGTCAATGACTGGTTTCTGATTGTTGTTGAAACAGACCTTTTGTTTCTTTACTCCTCAGAAAATACAATAATACAAACTAACTAAGGTTAACATCTAATTTAATATGACATCTAATTTTATATAACAATTTATTTGAACTTTCCATAAAGGCAATTCAACACTTAAAAAGAAAAACAACTTTTGATCCAAATGCAGAAACGAAACTGGCTATTATAGACAAAAGAGCATATTGATTGCATAAAACATGAATGAGAATCTAAAATATTTCTTCTAGTCTATTCCAGAACATTCCTTTAGATTAATTATTTCCTCTATACTTGTGATCTCTTTCTATACAGCACATTGGCATAAATGGTTGGCTAATGGGGTTATTATAAGGTGACACAATATAATTTTAAAATAAAAATATGTTCAAACATTTTTTATATATTTTAGTCGAGAAAACAGAGACGGTACCAAAGTATTTGGAAAAGGGGTTGAAGGTGTTTATGATCATCCTGAACCTGGTAAAGAAACTTTAATAATCCATGGACCAACACGAGAAGATTTAATATTTTTCGTAAGTTTTATCATTTTAAAAATGGCCATAATATAATAATACAGAAACTAGATGTTTTGTCATTAAATTTAAAAAAATGTATTTGTGTAAAAAATAGTCGCATTGTTCAAAAAATTCACCAAAAATACAACAAACTTTAAGAATTTTCTGGTCGAATAATAACTAATAAATAATAATGGACAAAAGCCAGCAAGTCAGATATAAAAAAGAAATTATAAAAAGGAAGTGGAATAACTAAATATGACATGCACTCAAAAATGAACTGATGATGATATAAAAAGTTTACTAAATATACCTACAGAAACAGATTAAATAAATTTAGGCAAATAAATAGAAAACGTGAAATATGAAAGAGACATGGGAGACCTAACACTAACAGCTAACGGAGTTAAAGCAAACAACGTATCGATGGCTTAAGTGCAAAACGTCGTAACCCACAAAATTTCAAAAAATCGCTTTTTGCGTCATTGAAGTCGTATGTTTTAGCTGCATCTTGTGTAAAACTATCGTAAGCAACAGTATAAAATGAAATTAATTTTACGCGCCAAAACAAAAAGTTGCTCTTCGAAATTACATCTAAAGTTTATTTGGTTTTTTATTCCCCTGTAAAATTTACTTTTTGGGGTTACGACGTTTTGCACTCAAGCGATCGCGATATATCCGGGATCTCACAATATGTATTGTGATGTTTGTTTATTTTCAAACAACAGTTTATTTATTAATAATTTATTTAAACACTTATTTATTTTAAACAATAATATTTTAATTTATATATACTTCGAATGTCTTTAAACTGATCACTATTTATATTCACCACTGTCTATCTACTAATTACTATTTATCTGCACTGTCCATATAACTACTTATTATGATGGCTCGCCTCCACCAATTTATATACAAAATTGGTGGCCTAGAATGTTCCCCCACCAAAATTGCCAGTATGTATCAGAAACGCTATCACGTTCTAGAAATAGTATCTCGTTGACCCTGGAATGTTCGCGAAAGTGTCTCCACCATAGTCGTCCCATAGGTTTGGTCTTAAGGGGTTCAATTATGTATAATAAGCGGACAAGTTGAGCCTCAAAAGCCAAATAATACAGAGAGGGACTTGGAGTATTAGAGCATGACTGAATAATGAAATGGCTCACATTACATTGCCCCCTCCTTAAGAGATAGTTCCTCCTGGAACTCTTACGAAACTAAACTGGAATGGTTGTATTTGCAACTGAATCCTCTTTCACAATTTCCAGTTGCATGGAAGTAACACGGGACGGTCTTCGCTGTAACCTGGGCACTGGGCGAATGGCTGCAGACCAGTATCTGAACTCCGGTATCTTGAAAGATTACTTCCACCATGTTCCTAATGATCCTCCAATCCAGCTGATTTGCTTCTATCTTCGGCATTGCTAGTTTCTGTATATTGGACTCCAGTACATGCTCCCTCAGACTGAGTAATGCTTCCCATACATCCTGATAGGAGGATCGATCTCGGAAAGTGTTCTTCGTTATCAAATAGAAAAGGTAGCGCGATTCGTCTTGAAGTTTCAAGGCTTTTCCAGGGGCTGGTAACTGACGTTGAAGTTCTACCAGTCGACCAAACTTCTTACGGAACACATATGCCAGTCCTCGCGCGTCGTTGATGCTGGCGGAAGTACTATGGACCAGCGAGTAGTCTTTCGGAAGCGAGAGCAGATCTTGTTGTTGCTCGGTCATGACACCATATCTGGCTTTTCCAGTACCTCCATATGTACCCATAAATTCTTCAAAGACAAGGTCTGGTGTTTCTTGAAGTTGGTTTACTTCTTCATGGTCACCCTCAAATGGCGCCAGCCTGTTTTGGTGCACTACCTTTGGTTTACCGTTTGGAATCTTACTTATACGGTAAATTACATCATTTATTTTATTCTTGATGAGGTACGGACCTTCCCAAGACCTTTGAAGCTTCGGAGAATAACCCTTTTGTCTTTTTGGGTTATGGAGCCAGACTTTGTCGCCTTCTTTAAAACATCCTTCTGTTGCTTGGGTATCGTATCGCTTCTTTATTCTGTCGCTGGCTATTTGAAGATGGGAGCGAACTAATTCATGCATGTCGTCCATTCTTCTTCGTAACTGGATCACATAATCTTCACCAGCTACATCTTCTCCAGGTCGGCATCCAAACTCAAGGTCGCACGGTAGTCTCATCTCACGCCCAAACAAGACCTTTGCTGGTGTTTGGCCTGTTGATTCATTGATAGCGGATCTATAAGCCATTGCAAAGAGTGAAAGATACTGATCCCAATCTCTCTGATGGTTTGAAACCACTTTTGACAGATATTTGCCAATGGTCTTATTCATTCGCTCTACCATTCCATCGGATTGTGGGTGCAATGCTGTGGTTCTGGTCTTCTTCATGCCTAGTCTGTCACAGATTCCACGGAAAAGTTGACTTTCAAAATTTCTACCTTGGTCACTGTGGATCTCCAAGGGCACTCCAAATCGACAGATAAACTCTTTTATCAATACATCTGCAACAGTTGCGGCCTCTTGATTTGGAATGGCATAGACTTCCACCCACTTTGTAAAATAATCCATAACCACCAAAATGTATTTATTACCATCCTCGGTCGCGGGGAATGGTCCAGCAATATCTAAGGCAATCCTCTCAAATGGGCTACCAACGTTATATTGCTTCATGGGAGCCTTCCTTTTTCGTTGAGGTCCATTACTTATAGCACAGGTGGTACATTTCTTACACCAGTCCTTTACATCATCGGAACTGTTCATCCAGTAAAATCTTTCCCGAACTCTCTGAAGGGTTTTCCTAACACCGAGATGTCCTCCTGATGGACTGTCGTGTAATTGACGGAGTACTTCAGCTACTCTACTTCTTGGAATGACCAACTGTCTTCTGTTCTCCGAACCGTCATCATTTTCCAGTACTCGCTTTAATAAGCCATCTTCCAGTATAAAGGAGTCCCACTGAGCCCAATATGATTTAACTACTGGAGAGAATTTCGATACTTCTTGCCAAGTAGGTCGACAATTTTCCTCTTTCCATTCTCGTATCTTCTTTAAGACGGGATCATTCTCTTGTTCTTCCCTAAGTTGGACAGGGGCCCACTCATCGCTGACAACCGACGTTCTTTGTACTGTAACTTCTTTAACAGATGTGGCCAAACCCTTTCCAATCAGAGTTCCTTGACCAACACCTTTATTGCGCTTCGAAGGTTCCGCCATGACAGGCGTTGCCTTTTCTACAGTTCCTTGCAACCGCCTTACTCGTATGGTTTCACTACTTTCAGGTAACACCGTTCCTTCCTGTACAGCCACCAACACAGTTTTTCCATTCGTAGTGTTCTTTGGACGTTTGCGCGAACTGCTTACTTTTTCCATTTCACCGCAATTCCAGCACCTAATAGTCTTCGGTTGCTTCTCAATAAGGCTTTTTATCATGTGAAACAATTGGTCCAATTTATTTCCCTGTTCTTCTTTTACAGTCCTTGCTTCACTGTATCCACCAGAAGTCAGCGTAGCCGCTTCGTATTCAAGAGCAGCGGACAAGACATCGACCAATGTTTTGTGACGGGCTAAACGAAGTGTTCTTTGCATTTCATGGTCACGAAGTCCATCTACAAATGCTTGAACAGCCAAACATTCTATCATGTTTTCTGGAGCTAACGGGTAGGCAAATCGCACCATCTTCGCAATATCTAATTCAAATTCTTGAAGGCTCTCGTCACGTTTCTGTTTCCGATTCTTTAACTGTAATCTGTATACCTGCTCCAAGTGTTCATGGCCATATCGCATGTTAAGTCTCTTTTTCAGTTGTTCAAAATCATCTGTCTCTTCCACGGATATAGTCTGAAGGACATCCAAAGCGTCTCCTCGAAGGGCGATGGTCAAATTTATTGCCTTCTCTCGTTCAGACCACTCGTTTGCTCTGGCAGCTGTTTCGAACTGCTTAAGGTAGTTCGTCCATGACATCTTCCCGTCAAAAGTTGGGGCTTTAACACGAGGAGAGTTTACAGCTCCTTCCAATTTCAACTTCGACTCCAACTCATTGCACTTTATTTCACCGTTCTTGGTTTGGTCTACGTGTTCCATTTCTTCAATCTTCTTTTCCATTTCTTTTATTTTCTCCTCAACGGAAGACATTATTTTATTCTCAACGGAAGAAATCTTATCATCCATAGAAGAAATTTCGTTTTTCATAGAAGACATTTTGTTTTCCAAGTCGGAAGAAATTTCATCTTTTAAAGAGGAGATATCAGAAGAAACTTTAGTTTCTAAAGAAGAGATTTCGTTTTTCACGGAAGAAATATCGGATGAAACTTTACTTTCTAAGGAAGTAATATCACTTTTTATAGAAGAAACGTCTAAAGAAACTTTATTTTCCAATGAGGAAATGTCTGAAGAAATTGAAGAAATTATAGCAGACGCATCATCCGGAAATAGAAACGTTTCCGAATCAAAACCTTCATTTTCTAGTGCTTCTTTAAGCCGTTCTGCCAGTTCTGCCTTCTTCCCTGTAGTCTCCAGATCACGATCCTCTAATTCTCGACGCAACTCGGCCACTTTTAATTCACACAGTTTTTTAGCCATTATTGTCCACTATTTATTTACACTATTCCACTTCTTGACACCAATGTGATGTTTGTTTATTTTCAAACAACAGTTTATTTATTAATAATTTATTTAAACACTTATTTATTTTAAACAATAATATTTTAATTTATATATACTTCGAATGTCTTTAAACTGATCACTATTTATATTCACCACTGTCTATCTACTAATTACTATTTATCTGCACTGTCCATATAACTACTTATTATGATGGCTCGCCTCCACCAATTTATATACAAAATTGGTGGCCTAGAATGTTCCCCCACCAAAATTGCCAGTATGTACCAGAAACGCTATCACGTTCTAGAAATAGTATCTCGTTGACCCTGGAATGTTCGCGAAAGTGTCTCCACCATAGTCGTCCCATAGGTTTGGTCTTAAGGGGTTCAATTATGTATAATAAGCGGACAAGTTGAGCCTCAAAAGCCAAATAATACAGAGAGGGACTTGGAGTATTAGAGCATGACTGAATAATGAAATGGCTCACATTACAGTATCTATAACGATTTAATAAGCTTTTCAAAACATTTTTTCTAATTTGATAAATAATATAAGAGGTTGAGTGGTGTGTACACACTGGGTAATAAGAGTATTTAAAGTGTGTAAAATTGAAACATTGAAACATTCATTTCTTAATAATTTATTTACTTACAGGTTTGTTTTTACGATCAAGAAAACGTCGGCTACAGATACAGATACTCGGAACCAACTGCAGATCTTAACTACGCACCACAATACCATTGGGAATTGCTGGATTGGTCTGATTGCTCCCTTAAATGTGGAGGTGGGATAGAAACGTCAAAGTACGATTGTGTTGAAGAAAAAGCTGGAAAAGTTAGTTCCACTTTTTGTGCGGGTGAACCGAAGCCACCCGTTCAGACCAAACCATGCAACGAGAATCCTTGCATGACAAAGTAATTATCCTGACTTTATGTGTTCTACATTAAACAAATTGTTTAAAAATTTACTCTATTACAGATGGAAAGTAGGAAAATGGGGTCCATGTCGAGCATGTAAGAACCTGTCTGGGCTGCGAGCTAGAGAAGTAGAATGCGTTAGAGAAAATCCAAAAATCGGCGCTGAAGATATTTTAGTCGAAGACGAAGAATGCGATGACGTTAGACCAGCTTCTAAAGAGTTGTGTAATTCCCCAAAGAAATGCAAAGTTAGGGAGGCCGAACAAATGCCTCAAGAAATGGCGCAGGAAATTTGGAGACAGATCAACAAAAGAAAGATTCAAAATAGAAGGGATCTAGTTAGTTTATTTTTTTATTTAACCAGCCGTAAAAAGAATATTCCTTTGATTTTCTAAATACAGGATATTCTGTAATGACGTGTTAATATTTCAGAGTGTAATTCCTTAGGTTAGTACATCCAGGAACGTTTATATTATTATATATGGCCTCAATGGCTTAAATTCTTTGCTATGTATAGCAAAGATATTCAGCTGTTATGGACCTAAATGTTCATGTTTAAATATACTATTATATATATAAAATGACTCGATAAATCAAAACCTAAACTATTGGCATGTTATTAAAGATCATTTTTTAAATTCTACTGCAATTTGAAAATGTTTACAATAAATACTAGCATCTCAAATAAATTAATTTAAAATAAAAGCAAATAAGAGAAACAAATTGATAAAATTCATTTTATTTTTTAGAATATTGACAAGCTGTTGGAAGCTATTGAATCCAACACAGTGGCAGATTCTTGTAAAACGCTGAACAAAACCATGAAAAACTTCAAACAAAAGTCAGGCGGTTTAATTAAAGATAGGATACCGCAAAGTGAAATCAACGTGGTTAAAATTCCTTTCAAACAATCACATTCCGCTTTAAATCTGTCTGATAACGCCTTCGAAACCATGGGCGACACAGTAGGAGACAAATTAGATACCGGTGAAGCCGTTATAGCTACTGGAGCAGATGCTGCTAAGATTCTAAAAGAATTGGGACATAATGAGCAGGAGAGGGAGGATTTATTAACGTCAACCAAAAAAGTGGACGTTAAAAAGAAGGATACTGAAAAGAGCGGAAAAGAAAAAGAAAGAACGGTGGCGATTAAAGACAGTAATGAAGAAAAAGTTAAAATAGTTAATAATAAATCTGATAAGGTTAAAGCAAATGAAGATGGCAAAGAAAGAAAAGCAAAACGTGGAAATCAAAAATCATAAAAAGTTAATTCGTATATTATATAAAGTATTGTTTTTATATTATACATATTACAAAGCATTTTTCATATATTTCTTTGCTAAAAAATAAATATGTTGCCTACTTTACGTATCTTTGTTTATTTAAAAATCTTCATTTGACCAAAATGAGCATCCCACAGCCGGAGGTGGCGGTATTCGATGACGTTCAGATAAATTTTTTGCTGTTGATGATTCTGATACTCTGAAGTTTTCATGCGAAAAAATATTGGGTTGTATAAGAAATATCCCAGTTATTTTAAAACCAGACACAGCCTTTTCTATCGATGCTACCCTACTGTATGCTTTATTAAAGAGACTAACCACCTCATACAATATTACTTCACTTGAAGGGTAAAAATTCAGATACATGTCACACTCGAATTTTTTTTTTCTTTAGAGGCTCATAGACAGTCATATCAAAAGGCCGATTTCTGTGACACGTGGTTTGGCGAGCCTGGCTTGTGGATTGGGCTCATCAAAACGCGGCTCGTTAATCAAGTCTCGGCGGGAGAATTCGTACTATAGGCTCGTGCAAGCTTAAACAAATCTTGCTTTCAGTCGTGTCAGTGGTATTAAACACTTCAACACGTGAATATAAATAATCAGCAAAGAAGACGAGTTGCGGCTGTCACTGCGGCTACATACGATTAGAATAGTTATTTAAATATTAAACAAAAGTTAAGAAAAAAGATGGGGGAGAATATCTTTGTATTAAAGATGCAATAGGTATGTCACCTACGTAGGTATAATAAATAAGCATTTCTAAATTACTAAATTTAAGAGCCTGATTATATAATTATAATTACACACGAATAGCTAGTTACCTAAGTAAAACCGATTGTTGTCAATAACTCAATGCCAAATGTTTTTAGATAAAGTAATAAAAAACAAACTTACAAGATAGATTACGTCAAATGATTTGTCAAAGGTCACACCTTTATCGTTTTTGTTATCTTCATTAGGTTTTTTCAGAAACTTACTCGGGTCAGGAAGATTATGTATTCTATTTTTCGTATACCTATGGTTACTAACATTATCCATTTTTGGAAACTAATAGATTACTGATCCAGCTTTATGATCGAGATCAATATTTTGTGACCCACTCCACTAGTAGATTAGTAATAGATCCGCATGCACACCGCAGGATTTTATAAAAGGATAACGCAATTTTTTGGTTTTTCGTGTCTGCCAGTAGCATTTTTGAAGAGTTTTCTGAATTCAATTAGTTATAACTTGTAATCTTCATGTCCATATTGCGACTTTATCAGTTAAACTACAAATATGTTTAACTAAAATAGTTCTTTAACAAATTAGAGGAAAATGTCAACGATTGACAGACATAGATGAACAGGACCAATAATCCAACTCGTTCGTGAACTGTCGCCACTAAGTTCACTGATCCACTTGATCCATCGGGTAAACCCAGTAATCTGGATTTTTTATCTATAGTAGGTTTCCGAAAACGCCTATTGTTAGCATTTAAGTTTATGAAAGGTTCTTTATTTTAAATAACAGTTGATGTAATTGATAATTTAGAATCTCTTGAGTTCGTTGATGACCAACAATGTGGTGATACTGGTGATGCCAATGGCGATGGCGTTAATAAGGCATTCGGTTAAGAAAAGGAATGAAATGTTTGTTGAGAGTAAAAATTACGTAGTTCTTGAGAACATAACATTGGATGGTTGTTGATAATAGGAATGGTTGGTATTGGTTTGGAATAGTTGATAAATACGAAAAAGGATTTTTTAACACTGGGTAAATTGTGTGTGTGTTTGTACGTGCGTGCTTGCGTGCGTCTGGTGTGTCTGTGTGTCGGTATTGACTTGCGATGAGCTGATTAGATTCTGGGCAGATTCAGAACTTCTGGTGGGGGTAACTTATATGGGGTTGTTTCATATTTTATGGAATATATCTATTTTTTACGTTTGATGAAGAAAATTATTTAAGTAGTAGTTACTTGTAATATTATTATCTATAATTTTTATTTCATACAAAATTTTCCTAAAATGATCCGTATTCAAAAAATTTGACAAAACGTAAAAAATTTAAATTTTTTAAACAATTGTTTAAATCACAGTATTTGAAAAAATCTGTAAATTTTGAAGACAACTAAAAAAAGGAGAGAAACAAAAACCAAGTTTTAAATTTTAGCTTTAATCCATTCTACGGTGCAGTGTTTAAATTTTGGTTATAGTCGAAATATCTGGTATGGTACTTTATCCATGGTTGTTTTTTCACTTTATGGAAAATGTCTGGTATTTACGCTTGGAGAAGAAAATTTTTAAATTCTAGTTGCTTGTAATGTTATTTTCTATATTTTTTTTCAAATACATAATTTTTATAAAATATTCCGTATTCGAGAAATTTTAAAAAATGTGTAAAATTCTAATTTTTAAGATACTTTTTTATATAAAAGTTGTTTGGGGTATTATTCTCTATACTTTTTTCAGCAATAAAAAAAGAATGTTTCGAGTAAAATGGTTGCGTAAAATGTATGTATTAAGTATGTCCTCTAAACATTTACACGGGGTGATATAGTAGGTTATACAAAAAAAAAACACGGAAAAAGTCCGTAATAACTGGACAGGAAAGTAATATGTTGGACACATCAGATTTTTAACTATATATTTTAAAAAATAACTAAATATAATATTTTTAATCTAATTCAGTAGTATCTATAGCCAATGTGAGTTTTTAGTTTGTACCTATTATTTGCTACTTCTGTTTTCTTATTTTATTTTTGATTTAACCGTTATTTACTATATAATATTAATACTGTATTTCTTTATTTTTCTTTTGTATTTTATATTTATTTTTCATGAATTAACATTATTATTGTTTTTAAATTTATTGTACAACACTCCAATGTACAGGGTGATTCTTTTATCATGAGAAATGAGTTTTTCTCGTAAACGGCTTCAGAAAATTAAGTTCTGTAAAAAGTATTTTATTTAGGCCGATTGATGCTTGAAACTGAGATAAATATGGAATATATAATTAAGCGACGCTAGGCGTCGCGACGCTTCACAATTTTTTTTTGTCAGAAGCATACCATTTTTATTTTAGAAATTAAAAGATATATTCAATACAAACACTTTTTTCAAATACCATTTTTTTAATCTAAAACCATTCAAAAGTTAGACCAGTTTTTAAGTTTTAAATTTGTCGATTGCCATACATAGATATAGAAACCACAAGATGTAACCACCGTGCTCGGCAACAATCAGTCACATTCTAAGCTAATGTGGTGGATAAGATTACACTCGATCTAACACATTGCCAAGTCTACCTAAATTACTTTCTAATAGTCTAAACGCGGCAACCGCGCTTAACTGCATCCCATTCATAAATTGTTCACGACTTATGACGATTTGCTGTCGTTTTTGAAGAAGGTTAAATAAAATCAGTTATCAAATCGTGTTTATTGTTTCTTATACTTTTTGGATAATATTAAACATTTTATTCTGCAAATATGTTTAGAAAGTGTGAAGTGTGCAAAGAATGGGATTATCTAAATCCAAATTTATCGTTCCACAAGTAAGTTTAAATTGAAGTAAATTATAGGTTATATTTTTTAATCATTAGCGTATCTGTAGTGTATAAAATATTTGCACATTTATAAACAAGCATATATTTATTTTTCTTTTTAAATTACATTTAAAATTGAAACTAATAACTGTTTTTAGGTTTCCTGCAAATTTTGAGAAAAAAAAAGCCTGGTTTGGAATTTGGAAATCAATTTGGAACGGGTACTCCCTAAATCTGTAAAAAATTTCTCTACCCTCTAGCCATTTTGAGGATAGCAATTTCTTATTTAAATCAAATAGCCTTACATATTTAAAAAATGATGCTAGTCCAAAACAAGATAATCTTCCTATCACCTTAAGGTAGGTATATATTGTAAATATATCTTTTTTTACACCCTCAAAGTATGTGATTGCATATCATTAAATATTTATCGCTTTTGTAGCTCTCCATCAGTTTCTAAAGAAGTTGGTATATACTATTTATCCCATCTCGCAAGGTATAATAATAAATATATCATTTATATTACTAAAAAATGTCTTATAGCCTGTCTATAAAATTAGTAAACTAGCTCTGCAGGTATGGTTCTAGATACATATGTGTCAGAAATATTTATATATATTTTTTAATAATTGTTATTATTTGTTATATCCAGTTAAGGGACATTTTAAAAATATTTAATTATTAATTGCATACTTTACTATCCAGTCGCTAAACGAATTATAGAGAAGTATTGATAAGAACTAAAAGAACTTTTTTCAGAAAATATAGATGAATTCTTTCCAATATATCTAAGTATCTTAGTCCTCAAATATCATACTTCTTGAAATCTTTTCTAGAAAATTGCATAGTTTTCTATAAATTATTAGGGTATTAGCAATATTATATTTTTCATATATAATTATCATGTTGTTTATTAATAAATTTTTGGTAAAATTAATAGGTAAATTAATTTAAAATATAACATTTCTGCAGCTTTTCCGTGCTGTATTATTAATTTTCTCAAGGTACAAAACTAATTTTTTTATTTTATAATATATAAAGATTAGGTAAATATATTTTTAAAATGTTACATTGTTCATCATACTATTTATAAATTGTGTAAATAAATATTTTATAAATAAAAAATTTAACTAAATTCTTCTATTTCTGTACCATTTTCCTGTTAATATACGCTCATGGCAATAATATTAGTAATGTAATAAACGACGCCATTTTCAACCTTATGTGACGTTTAATGTTGGCGTGTAAACAAACAATATTTATGAATGGGTTGTGGTAGATGTGCATACAAAGAATGCTTTGGTTTTTAAAATTTACTAAATCAGGTAGGCTTTGAAAAAATAAACTTGGCTTATATTGATTGATGTCTGAAACTATCAGAGTCATTTTAATTATTTCTATTAAAATAATAAGTATCAAAGCTCACCTGATTTAGTGAAATTTAATAAACCATGAAATTATGACCATGGATTCTTTGCATGACAATCGACAAATTTAAAGCATAAAAACTAGTCTGTAATTTTTGAATGGTTTTAGATAAACAAAAGTGGTATTTA